TTAGACTACTAGATAGATAGATAGATAGATAGATAGATAGATAGATAGATCAATAATTAGATTACTAGATAGATAGATAGATAGATAGATCAATAATTAGATTACTAGATAGATAGATAGATAGAACAATAATTAGACTACTAGATAGATAGGTAGAACAATAATTAGACTACTAGATAGATAGATAGATAGATAGATAGATAGATAGATAGATAGATAGATAGATAGAACAATAATTAGACTACTAGATAGATAGATAGATCGATAGAACAATAATTAGACTACTAGATAGATAAATAGAACAATAATTAGACTACTGGATAGATAGATAGATAGATAGATAGATAGATAGATAGATAGATAGATAGATAGAACAATAATTAGACTACTAGATAGATAGATAGATAGATAGATAGATAGAACAATAATTAGACTACTGGATAGATAGAAAGATAGATAGAATAATAATTAGACTACTGGGGATCCAATAGATAGATATGAGATAGATAGATAGATAGATGGATGAGATATAAATTGGGACATGAATTAGACTACTAGATAGATGATAAATATTTTCATGTTTAACAATAATTAGACTACTGGATAGATAGAAAGATAGATAGAATAATAATTAGACTACTGGATAGATAGATAGATAGATAGATAGATAGATAGAAAAGGTAATTAGACTACTAGATAGATAGTGTCAACATTGTGGCTATCTTATTTGCATATATCCCTATGGCGCCAGTTTGAGTTCAGTTAAAAATACTGCGATAGATAAACGCAGGAAATTAAGCTCAGTTCAAATCAACAACGATAAAATATACACTGCAATAAATAAAAAAAAGAAAATACCTAATCAGAATGTTAATTACACAGTCCAAATGAGTTACCCGCCTTGTCCCGACCCGTTATCCTCAACAGATTGCCGCCATGTTTTAGTTCATCAAGGACTCTAATGAGTTGTCAAAATTCTCTTAATCCCCAAGAAACTAGGACAGTTAACAGACGCTGATTTTGGAAATTCTTTGAGAGTCAATATTTAAAGCCGATTCCACCGAGAAATGCTTGATTTAGGCCACGTAATCATACATTGTCAACATCAAAGAGCACTTTATATAAATAATGTTTCTGTTTCGAGTTTGAAAATCGTAAATGACGCCTAAGTAGCAGTTATTTCAAATGTGTTCATATGTTTTTTCCTGCTATGGATATTGTGACTTTTGTTTCTTTTAGTGGAACATAACAAAAAGAGCGTTTAGACAAATTCGTCGATACTGTGAAGGATTTAAATTCATTATGCCCCAGCTAAGAAAATGTCCGTTGTCCAACGCTACTGCAATATTAGGGCAGGCTGATTTTTCACTTTCTTTACACAAGCGACATTGCACTCGACTAAACGTTGAGGTATGATAGGGGCTGACATCGAAAATTATATTCAAAATTTTATAAATTTTTGAGAATTTACTTTTAAATATCGTCTGAAAAGCTCTACAGAAATGGCTTCTTTCAACAAGTTTTTGCTTACAAACTGGCTTCAAAATTTTGCTACTACAAGAATAATACAAATTTAGTTGATATTTCTTCAGCATCTGTCTATATTTCTGAGATGAGGTATTATGTACACTATTTACATTATTCGGACTATTGTCCTCATCTTTGTATATATATTTATTACAACGTTTCGACCCTTCAGTATCTGTCTATATTTCTGAGATGAGGTATTATGTACACTATTTTACATTATTCGGACTATTGTCCTCATCTTTGTTAATATTTATTACAACGTTTCGACCCTTCAAAATCTGTCTATATTTCTGAGATGAGGTATTATGGCACATTATTTACATTATTCGGACTATTGTTCTCATGCATTTGTCGCCATATTTATTACACAAGGTTTCGGCTTTTCAGTATCTGTCTATATTTCTGAGATGAGGTTAAATTATATAACTATTTAAAATTATTCGGACTATTGTCCTCATCTTTGTCGTCATATTTATTACAACGTTCCGGCCTTCTTCATGAAGTTGGAATGTCGAACTGAACCCTTTATTTTGCTCATTGGGGTAGACTGTTCCAGTTCCACGTGCCATGTTTTAATGGATGTCAATTATCAGTTATCAATGTGAGTTCAATACCCGGTTAAGGCAGTTGGGAACTTGGAGAGTGGAATTGACATGAGATAACTGATAACTGACATCCATTAAAACAATGTTCATAAAGTAGTATTCGTATTTCTATTTACTATTTCTACGATATCTGAGCAAGACTCTGCAATAGGGATTGGCTAGCCGACCTAGTAGACGGGTATAGTCGAATACGGGTGGCCAGCTATACAATACCCATTTAATATGACCTCAAAGTCAGAAATTATTCGCACTAACCGTTATTCCAAGTTTTCCAACACAACTTTCAATTTGGATGCAATGTCACGGTTCCAGATTCATATATGTGCTACTGAAACATTCCATATAAATATATATATATATATATATATATATATATATATATATATATATATATATATATTATAAATTAATTGATTTAAAATATGTTTTTTTTTCGCTACACAGTTCCAACCATGTTTCAAAAATAGAAGCTAAAAACCCTGAATTTAATTTTACAATTAAATTAAAAGCATTAGTTCCATTTCATCTTCAAGCGAATTTTGGAGTAACTTTTAAAAATTACCGGGTTTTAAAGACACAGCTAAAATCACGTTTCCATGGTTACAGAATATTCTACTTAAATTGGACAAGGGATGTCTAGATTTTCCTTATGTCAGTATCATTGTATCAGTTATTAGCTACAATTTGGTAAGGGGTAGGGATGTATTTTACAATGAAACCTGACATCAGTTGAATGAATGTCGTCTGGATTTAAAAAAAAAAAAAATATTGTCAATTATATATATATATATATATATATATATATATTTATATAGATGAAAATCCCAGTGGATATAATCCTAACGGACAAAAACCAAATGGACAAAATCCCAGCCTCTTATCTCACAAGTGAACAAAATCCCAGTCTTATATAAGATTATTTAATAAGATTAGGCGTTAAGGTCATTCGCCTGTTATCGTATTAGGTTATATTAAGATAACATATACTTATTTATCCGTTGTCGTGGGCAACTCGACGTGGTGTAATGGTTAGAAAGCTTGTCTTGCTAGATCAATTACGACTGAGTAGTGAGTTTGATCCTCACTGGGTGCCCCATAATTTCGGCCTTGTGCCACATCTAAGCTACGCTTAGAAAAAGGGTACTTCGACATGATGTAATGGTTAACAAGATTGTTTTACTACATCAGTTACGACTGAATAGTGAGTACGATCCTCACCGGGTGCCCCATAATTTCGGCCTTGTGCCACATCTAAGCTACGCATGAAAAAGGCTACTTCGATATGATGTAATGGCTAACAAGATTGTTTCACCATATCAATTACGACTGAGTAGTGAGTACGATCCTCACTGGGTGCCCCATAATTTCGGCCTTGTGCCACATCAAAGGTGTGCTTAGAAAATCACCTTATCGGTTGTCAGGCATTCATTTCAAGTGATGTATTCCTAATTATCTATAGGGGAATGTATGTAGTGGACATATATTTTGGGATCATGAAGCTTGAATAGATATGGCAATGTCTTCATGACAAGCAACAACAGATCCGATGATCCACCTGCCAAAATATAGAATATGAATAGATTCTGGCTAGGTTAACGAGCACATAGAGCCGAGTGTTCGTACGCTGCATTAATCCATAATAACTTTGAGATTTGACCAATTACAGGGGAGCTTTGAGGCCATATTAAATCGGTATTGTTTAGCTGGCCACCCGTATTCGAATATACCCGTCTACCAGATGGTGAAACAGAACCTTTCGATATTATGGCTGGCATTCTTCAAGGTGACACACTAGCATCTTTCCTTTTCATCATTGTAATATACTACATCATGCGTATATCAGTGGATACAATCAAAGAAAATGGACAGATGTATCAGCCTAGAAGAAGCTCACGTCATCCTGCACTTTACATCACCGATGCTGATTTTGCTGATGACATTGCACTGTTGTCTGACAACCTCATTAGTGCCCAAGCACTCCTTTCTTCTCTTGAATCAGCAGCTAACTGTGCAGGTCTTCACCTAAATGAAACCAAAACTGAGTGTATGCCAATTAACATTCGCAACAATCATGAGATCAAAACACTCTCAGATAACATCCTCAAATGTGTCGAAGACTACAAGTATCTAGGATCACACATCAAGAACTCTGAGAAAGATTTCAACATTAGAAAAGGTATAGTATGGACGTCTTGTAACAAAATTGATAAGATCTGGAAATCCAATCTTGCTCGTCAATTCAAAATCCAACTTTTCCGCGTACTTATTGAGCCAATCTTATTCTATGGCTCTGAAACTTGAACTCTCTCAGCAAAACAACAGCGTCGTTTAGATGGATTTTATACACGTCTTTTAAGAAGAGTGCTTAATCTCTCATGGCGAAACCACCCAACTCTAGAAATGATATATGGAGACTTGCCAAGAGTATCAACTTTACTTTGTAAGAGACGTGTCCAGTTCGCCGGGCATTGTGCACGTGCCACAGATGAACTTGTGTCATCATTTGTACTCTGAAGGCACCCATCATCTGACAATCGATCACGCAAGTTAACCTTTCCAGATAGGATAAAACGTGACACATTGATCCCTAAGGAAGATCTTTTAGGAGCTATGACGGATAGGGAATACTGGAGAGGTGTAGTGAGTTCAATCTCGGCTGAGGCCGCAGGATGATGATGATGAAGGCGGCTAGCCAATCCCTATAGCAGACGCTTGCTCAGATATCGTAGAAATAGCAAACAGAAATACGAATAATATTTTATGAACATTGAAATGTAGTAGAGTGTGGATCCTGTCGTTGTGCTAACTAGTGCTGCACAGTTATATGTTCCTTGAGAGGTTTGTCGAGCTCCAATAAGCACCAATAGTCTATCTTCTTGGCGATCCTGTATCATAGATACGGGATGAGATTAAGGGAAGATCAGATGCGTCAGGCATAAACTAACAGAGTAGGATTTTAGCGTAAGGTAGAAGGTTTCATGCTTGGGTAAAATAGTTAGTTTGGGCAAAAACTATCTTCGTCGAAGCCGGTAAATCTTAACCCGCACTTCGTCGAATGGTTCATTTCAGAAGAAAATCCTCTCAAATACAATTTAGACAATTAAAGGGAGATAACTTTTATATCTGAGTAATATTTTTATTTTTAAATTACGAGGGTAAGTCAAAAATTATCGGCTCCTTCGCCATAACATATAAACAAAGGTTATTGCGAGTAATGTCTGACGTTTCCCCTTGTTTGTTTATTTACGAAAATGAATAGCCTCAAATGATCCGTCAAAGTTCCGATAGATTTAAACGGCGTAAATATCACATGTTTTCATTTAATAAATGTTCTTTGCTTAAAATATTTTTTTTTTATTTTATTCACTGTCCCTTTTGGGTTTTATTCTGTTTTAACTCAGTCAGGTCACGTGGTAGACGACATGACCAACAGTCAATCGTCGATACGAATGAATTATTATCCCAAGAAGATATTTTGAAGAACATTGGTGCTTATTGGGGCTCGGAAAACCTCTTAGGTGACGTATAACTGAGACGCACTGGCTAGCACAACGACAGCTCACAAGTAACAGCCGAAAATCCAACCATGGCAAACGGCCATTTCGCTCAAATGCCTATCAATGACTATCCATAGAGAAAATCTTTAGATGCGTCAACAATTTAGATTTTGTTAGGCGTCGACAGTTTTGAACTTGCGAGGCGTCGACGGTTTGGAAATTCTGAGGCATTGACGCTTTGGAACTTCTGAGGCATCGAGAATTTGTAACTTCTGAGGAGTCGACAGTTTAGAACTTCTGAAACGTCGACAGTTTGTAACTTCTCAGGTGTTGACAATTTGTAACTTCTCAGGCATCAACAATTTGGATCTTCTGAGGCGTCGACAGATTGAAATTTCTGGGGCGTCGACCGTTTGGAATATGTGGGGCGTCGACTGTTTGGAACTTCTGAAATATCGTCAATTTGGAACTTTTGAGAGGTAGACAGTTTGGAACTTCTGAGGGATCGTCAATTTGGAACTTCTGAGACGTAGACAGTGTGGAACTTCTGAAGGATTGTCAATTTGGAACTTCTGAGACGTAGACAGTTTGGAACTTCTGAAGGATCGTCAATTTGGAACTTCTGAGACGTAGACAGTGTGGAACTTCTGAAGGATCGTCAATTTGGAACTTCTGAGACGTGGACAATTTGGAACTTCTGAAGCATCGTCAATTTGGAACTTCTGAGACGTAGACAGTTTGGAACTTCTGAAGCGACGACTGTCTGGAATTTCTGAGGCGTCAGCAGTTTGGAATATGTGAAGCGTCGACAGTTTGGAACTTTTAAGGCGTCGACACTTTGGAACAAATAAGGCATCGACAATTTGGAAGTTCTGGGGCATCGATAGTTTGGAAAACCCGAGACGTCGACTCTTTGGAACTTCTGAGGAATCGATATTTTCAAACTTCTGAGATGTCAACAATTTTAATTTCTGAGGCGTCGATAGTTTGGAACTTGTGGGGCGTCGACAGTTTGAACTTCTGAGGTATCGACAATTTGAAACTTCTGAGACGTCGACAGATTGCAATCCAGAGCTGTCGACACTTTGGATCTCCTAAATGGTCGACACTTTGAAACTCCTGACAGTTTGGAACTACAGAGGCCTCAACACTTTGGGACTTCTGAGGCGTAGACAATTCAAACTTCTGAGACGACGACAGTTTGGAACTTCGGAGGCGTTGTTCACGTCTCATCTCCGTGAAATCATGTTGCGTCAGTGGTCCAATCAAACTTTCTGGTCTTCAGCGTGTATATGCAGCGTAATCTAAGATTATCTTTTGTAATAATTTTTTAAATCAAATAAACCCTTATATTTGTTTTTGTTTTCTTTTTCTTTTTCGTCGTTCAGAGCATAGACGTTTATCTTACACATCTCGCTTAACTGATTGATTATCTAGTTTTTGTTTCCATGAATTGATCACTAGTTTTCAATCACGTTATGTATCCAAAATTCATGCGTTAATAAAGGAAATTTTGTATTAATTATCACTCTTTTTACTAACGTAATTTTTTTTATTTCAATATCTTTCTTTTATATTCTTTCAACGATTTATTATTCATATTATTTCAATATTATTAATATTAATACTAATAATGCTAATTAAGTAATTATTAATTAAATACTACTTAATTAATAATATTAACAATATTAATAATATTAAATATAATTATTATCAATATTATTTATATTTTATATTCATTATTCATATTTTAATCGTTTTTTATTCATACATTTTAGTTTAAAGAATGATTGGATTCAATTTTAATCCGATATTTTTATTAGTTCAAACTTTTCTCTTCGTGGATACTTATGTTTGAAATAGACGTCAATTTTTTTTTTTTTTTTTTTTTTTTTTAAAGAGGCCTGCGTATAAAATAAAATATTTTCTCCAGCAAGGTTCGAAACCGTATCCCCGTTTATAAGAAAAAGATTAAACACTACTTAATTCGGCGAGCTTTAGAGAACTGTTTCTTAACCTTTTCTTTCTTGTGGCTCATTTTCTCTAGCAAGGTTCGAAACCGTATCCCCGTTTATAAGAAAAAGATTAAACACTGCTTAATTCGGATGCTTTAGTGAACTGTTTCTTAAATTTTTCTTTCTTGTGGCTCATTTTCTCTAGCAAGGTTCGAAACCGTATCCCCGTTTATAAGGAAAAGATTAAACACTGCTTAATTCGGCGAGCTTTAGAGTACTGTTTCTTAACCTTTTCTTTCTTATGGCTCATTTTCTGATGTTAAAACAATTTAATAGCGTTCTGAGGTCTGGTTTATGGAAAGTTCTTAATCGTTTTAGTTGTCCCGACTACTTCATCTCTGGTTCAAGAAATGCAAGACATTATGTCTGGACGTGTATTTCAACAAAATATTCTTTCAAAAGAATTTCTTATTACGTGCGGACTAAAACACGGATGCGACTTGGCACCTACCTTATTCTCCTTGTATCTGGCTATAATGTTTCACAAAGCTCTAGACAATCCAAGTGTTGATATCAAAGATCGATATGAAGGTAAACCCTAGTAGACTTTGATCTAAACATTGAACCCACACGCAACAAATTTTAGAAGTTCAGTACAGATGGTCCTCAGTTTACGTCGGACCTAATGACAGCGTTTCATGGTTACGGCGCCATCTCCCTTAACATAATACGTCGTCACGCGGCGCTATACGAAGAAGACGGCATTGTTTCTTCACCGGTTGTACGCCATATTGGATTGTTCTACATTCGCTGTCTCTCGTTTGTGCCGTTTTTATGGGAACTTTTCCCTTCATTATGTCTCCCAAGCGTAAGTCAGACTCGTGGGTTCTTATGTAAGTGAAGTTCGACCTACGTCGAAAATCCGGTGTACGTCGCGCCATAGTTACGAATCTCCGACGTAAGTCGAAGAACCCAGGTACGCTGATGATAACGCTGCCATCTGTCCTTCAAAAGAATTACTTCGCTAAAGCCTACCATTGTTTTGACAACAGGAAGCATCAAGAAACCCATTGTTCTTGCATATCCAGCTTCAGATATTATCTTACCAAATTTTGATATTACCATCTGTGGTACACATCTAGAACAAGTAGAGATTGCCCATATCTATGCAGCTTTTTATCAAACACGAGAACCTTCACATGACTCAGGTAATCAAACGCGCCTCTAACAACAAAGATCTGAACAACAAAAATTATGGTTTATAATACTGTTGTCTTTTCATCTTTGTTATATGGTTGCGAAAGCTGGACTATATCGTCGTGACCTCCAAAAATTAGAACGCTTTCAACATCAAGAGCTTCGTTTAATCTTGATCACCAAATGGTATTACTATGTGACCAACGCCAAAGTCCTGGAAAGAGCCAACAGTCAGAGGATCGAATTAGCGATCATGAAGGACCGTTTTTGATGGTTCAGAACATGTAGCAAGAATGGAATTATTCCGCGAGCTCACTGCAGGGAAAAGTCCTCGCGGTTTCCCTCTTCGAACGCACAAGGACCAATATAAAACAAAATTAAAAGCTACTGGAACTGAGCCTAAATCGTTTGAAATACAATCCCAAGACAGTACCAACTGGCGGTTTTCCGTCACCATTGAAATAAAATAAAAACATTCGAAGCTACCAGTCAAACGACAAGAGAGAAAGGCTCGATAAAATCAACATTATCTTCCACCAACATTATCATGAAGTCAATGCCATCGGCTATTCCCTGCAAGAAGTGGTCTACTTAGTTACCAATGCCATCAGCAAAGAAATTAAATTCTTGGATACGAGATAAAGCCGACGATGACACACACACACACATATATATATATATATATATATATATATATATATATATATATAAAGATAATTCTAAGGAGCCAGGCAAGCCTTCCTAGGTTTCACCTAAACGGATCTTCAGGGTAAAACCGGCACTTTACGTAGTTGTCTTTTTACTCGTTTTCCTTTTTTTTCTTTGGACTTGGAGCTTAAACACTTGACGATTGTTTTCGCTTTTGTTTTAATGGTCTTGATTCATTCTTTTTTTTATTTTCTTTTTTTTTGAGCTATCCGACGGTTTTCCAAATGGCTATTATATATATATATATATATATATATATATATATATATATATATATATATATAATTATTATTTATAAAAAATTATAACATAAGTATGTTATAAAATCACTACAAAAAATAGCCATTTTGTTTCATCACACTCAGTGTCTTATCAAGTGATGATGTTGAAGATAATAATTATATCTGCTCAACTTTGTACTGAGCACTCTTTTAAGAATAGAATTGGTTATTGGAATTCATTCCGTATATACCAATTATATACTTGATATATATATATATATATATATATATATATATATATATATATATATATATATATATATATACCACAATTATACGTGCTAGTAGATAGGATTTAAGGGTTTGCTGTATAAGGACTTTTTTGTTTTCTTGATGTTTATTGTATGGCCACAAGAAAATTGAGCTCTTTGTATATGTATTGGTCGTTTTTTTCTCAAACAAGTACGCCTCAGAAAAGGGTGTGCAACACAGATTTGGAGCTGTGCGAGGGGGGTGTTCGCTAATCAAACGCGTCTTCAACGACAAAAATCCGAACTTAGCAACAAAAATTTTGACTATAATGCTGTTGATATTTCAACTGTGCTATATGCCAGTAAAACCTGGACTTTCTATCGTCGTGACATCCAAAATGCAAATGATTTGTCTGCATAGTCATCAACGCCATCATCATAAATTAGAACGATTTCACCAGCAAATGCTTCATTAAATCTTGAACATCGAAATCCAATTACTATGTGACCAACACCAAAAGCCCAGAAAAGAGCCAACGGACAAATCATCGAATCGCTGATTATTAAACTCCGTCTTCGATGGTCTGGACATGTAGTAAGAATGGAAGAGTCACGCCAAGTTTTATTCAGTGAGATGACTTCAAGGAAAATACCACGGGGTTGCTCCCTTCGAAGAAAAAAGAACAACAACAGGGAAAGCCACTGGACTTGAGGCTAAATTGATTGAAACACAAGCACAAGACCTTTACAACTGGTAGCGTTCCGTCACTACTGGAACCCTAAGCCACCAGAGGAGAAAAAGAAGTCAAACGACAAGAGAGAAAGGCTCGACAAAATCAACATTTTCCACCACCAACCTTACTATGTAGTCAACGCCATTGGTTCTTCAGTGCAAGAATTGTTATGCTTACTTATCAGCGCCATCCTGATAAATAAAGTGATCAGAAAAATAGAAATTAAATTCTTGGATGAGATAAAGCCGGCGACATTTTATACAAATTTGCTGAAGACTCGTACGTATCAGTTTAATTTAAAAGCTTTAAAAATGGCGATTGTCATATACAAGATAATTCACGTTCTAGAAGAATACTGTGCTGATGATAGAACGGGAGATGGGTGGACCTGCAAAACTCTAAACCTGAGCCTAACAGCTGACCTCCCCTCTAGTCTTGATCTAACCGCCCAGTTGGGGGAAAACTGCCTCAAATCAAAAATTAGAACGCTTTCACTGGCAAAAGCTTTGTTCAAGATTGAACAAATTACTATGTGACCAATTCCAAAGTCTTGCAAAGAGTCAACAGTCAAATGATTGAATCCGCGATCAGGAAACACCGTCTTTGATGGCCAGAACATGTAGCAAGAATGGAAGAGACAAGTCTTATTCCGTGAGATCACTTCTGGGAAAAGTCCACGCGGTTTCCGTCTTCGAAGATACAAGGACCAACACAAAAGAAGATTAAAAGCTACTGGACCTGAGCCTAAATCGTTTGAAACACAATCATGAGATTGTACCAACAGGCGGTGTTCCGTGACCATTGGATTAAAATAT